GTTTCACAGATTCTTAAGCACGTTTTTGCTGATTTTTACTTTCTAATCAGATCCCTCAGAAGAAATGACAACAAAAGGATGGCCAGAGAACTAGAGTAGCACACAGTGAAAAAATTCTGACATCCCACAATTTGAAAGAAACAACTGGTCAGACTATCTTTAAACTGTAACTATGAAAAGTTTGAGTGCCTATAATAAAAATATAATCATAGTAAATCTCCAAAATATTATAACATTAAAATATTTTAAGTGCTAAAAACATTCAAAATTAATTGTGAATAGTCTGCTTCCTCATATTTGATCTTGAACTTTTCTCTCAGCAACAGAAGACCTATGAAGTTTGTGGGAATCCTGACCTACTCACAGTTAAATGCCACCATAGCAAATGGTATTTACCATTTACATATACATTTCAAGTTGTTTAACTGAATTGTTACAAGGTAATATTACTCTGTTGTACCCATATACGGGAGGCTTAATCCACAACTAATAAAATTAAGCGTTCTTCTATTAATTACTCCGTCCTGAGACAAGACAATAAATCACTGCTCTAAATTACGATTGATATCAATTTATTTAAATCAGGTTAAGGCTTTGTAAAACAAAGTTGAAAATCTGTGCTTTACAACTTTAAGTTAAAATTTATCAGTGAACTAAATTATAGATATTAAAAAGTAAGAAGAAAATTGTCAATCTGTAGAATCTCTTATTTGAATTTTACAAAAGTGCAATAAGAAGAAATCTTGAAAAATTAAGGCCCTGACTCTGAAAACACTTGTTGGTACATAAATGTACTCTAATAACATTTTCAAAAACAGGAGCCTAACAAATCCTATCTTTAGATACCTATAGGTGGGATTTTCAAAAGCACCTCCATTACTTAAAGAGCACAATGACTTCAAACATGGAGGAATGTAACCTGGTCAAAGCATTTCAACTTTTTTGACTTGTGGATTTTTAAAACATTGGAGGGTGAAAGTGTTTGCAATATAACAGAGATATTTGTTTATCCATTTTGTGTCTGAGTTTTTATTGGTTTTGAGCAAGAACACTAATGAGATCCTAGATGTGTCTTTTGCAGCATATATCGTTTTGTGTGAAACTTCTTAATAGAATTCTTTAATATAAAATCAGAAATTCTTCTAAAAATATGAAAACCAATTAAGAAATAAGTGCAAATATCCACTTCAGCAAACTATAAAACAAGAATTAGCAATATGTAAATAAGATGTTATTTCCATTTTAATAATATGCATTTTTAATTAAAAACATTTATCCTGCATGGTTTATCTTAAAAATTCTTTTGTCTATTTTATTAAGTTAACTAACTAAAAGATTTGATACCACAGTTTAACTTACGCTACATTCCCAGGTCAAAATTAAAGACATTTTCAAGCTTGGTATATTTATACTCGTGTTTCCCTACCTCCTCTTCTTGGCAGTTTCTGTGTGGATTTTTTTTTTGGTGGAAAGTACATGAAATTATTTGTGAGATTCAATGACCATTTAACCTACTCCCAGTAATGGATAATTATATTATTACATACCATTCTTCCATAGGACCCCATGCTTTATTATTGAATGAGTAGCTATTCAATATTTATATTTTATCCTCTTCATTCAATGCATGGCCATGGGCCATATTTAATTTACATCATCCAAAACCTGCACCAAATACAAAATTATTCATTTCATCTTTGACTCTTTTATAGTACTCTCACTATAGGGTGAGTATTTCATGAGATTATTTACCTTCACAACAACCTTGATTGATTAGGTGCTATTACTATCCCCACTTCACAGATGAGGAACTGAGATACTTCTTATCTGGTCCAAATGATCAGAAGTGTTTATTAACCCTAACTGCCCAATTTGAGACAGTTAGGGCCTGATTCTTCAGAGTACTTATTTTTATAGCACTGTTGAAAACACGGTTCCAATTGATTTCAATTATGAGGATTCAGCATTTCTGCAAATCTGGCCCCAGGAGTTTAACTATGGGAACTCAGAAAATCTGTGGCCATTTGCGAAAATTCTGGTGAAAGTGACTTGCCTCAAATCACATACTAACTCTCTAACAAAGACAGGAATAGAAACAGATTTCCAGAATTCCATTTCAGCCTATAACCATCCCATTATTTTCTGCAATCCCTGCTTGCTTCTTTAAATATTTCAACTCCCTTACAAGTGAAGCTGTTATCCTACAGATATCATTCATTATACAAGCTTGATTCATTCCCAAATCACTGTCCAATCTAAACAGCATTGTATAAAATGGTCTCCTGCGATTAAAAAAAGTGTGTGGATGCAGGGCTGGATTAACTCATCATTGGAACTTAGACAAACATACACTTCTAGATCCCTACCTTCTAATATAAACCACACATGGCCATACAATAGACTCATTATGACCTGGCTGGCCATGTTATGGATTTGCCAAGAACTGTGCTCACAGTAACAAAAGAACAGCTGGAGTAAACCTGGTAGTGCTGTCACATGGCAGGTCACGGTGCCATTCACTCAAATGAGTGAAGTTCTTTTAGTGTGCATGAAAATCAGCATCACTGGTTAAAAAACAAAAAAACAATCACTCATTTTGGTTGCTACCACACACATTTGGGCCTTATGGATGCACCTACTTTGCCTATGCATAAATTTGGTCCTGCACATTTAAGTACAAAAGGCCTGTATTTATGGCTGCACAGAAATGTTGTTTCTAAATGTCCTGACTTTTTAATGCTTAACTTTGTAACCTTAATATTCTTTTAATATAGATTTTTTGGGAAAACAAAACAGAAATTCTGTCCAGTAAAAGCATACTAACCCCCACCTTGGGTCATGAACAGAATCTGGACTAGGGATGTTAAATTTCGATTAATCAGCTAATTGAGTAGTTGATGGAAGTTCCATTGACTACTTGATTAGGCGTCCACGGGTCTTACTACATTTCAAAGGCAGAAGCACAGCAGCTGGAACCCAGGGTAGGCAGCCCCTGCTCGCCCCATATTCTCCTGCTGCGCTTCTGCCTTTGAAATGTAAAAAGAGAGCCACAGAGGTTCTTGCAACATTTCAAAGACAGAGGCACAGCAGTCGGGACCCAGGGCAAGTGGGCACTGCTTCAGTCCCCACTCACACCATTTCCCCGCTGTGCCTCTGCCTCTCCTGCCCCCTATGGAGACAGAATGCAGCAGTCAGAAGCCGGGGCTCTTGCTACATTTCATAGGCAGAAGCGCAGCAGTCAGAATCCAGGGCAAGAGGGGTTTGGGTAGCTGACTAGTAGCTTACATCCCTAATTTGGACCTTTAGATTAATAGCAAAGACTACCTCTTAATATAGCAGAATATCATAATATGGTAGAATAACTGGTAGCAGTAGAAGGCTGTTATCCTCTGTGTAAACCAGTCACATGGGCTGAGCACATACTTTATTAGTGGGCTTCACAGCTTTGTAAGCCGATGAATGCAAAGACACAGAATTCCTGGATTTAGTTCCAGGATGTGTAGAGGAATGTGCTGTGCTGGCTGTTAATTATTTTATCTCTGTGCCCTATCGTGTCCTCCCTTACCCCTTCAGCTATCTCCTCCCCTGTTCCTATCCAATACTCATACCCCCTGATGGCCACCTTCTTGCCCCGCACCCTCTCTGATCCTATCCAACTCCTCACTTCGGCTGTGTCTAGACTGGCCAGGTTTTCCGGAAAATCAGCAGGTTTTCCGGAAAAACTTGCCAGCTGTCTACACTGGCCGCTTGAATTTCCGGAAAAGCACTGACGATCTCATGTAAGATTGTCAGTGCTTTTCCGGAAATACTATGCTGCTCCCATTAGGGCAAACGTTTTTTTTCCCGAAAGACTTTTGCGCAAAAGGGCCAGTGTAGACAGCACAGTACTGTTTTCCGCAAAAAAGCCCCGATCGCGAAAATGGCGATCGGGGCTTTTTTGCGGAAAAGCGTCCTGCCAATCTAGACGCGCTTTTTCGAAAATGCTTTTAACGGAAAAGTTTTCCATTAAAAGCATTTCCAGAAAATCATGCCAGTGTAGACGTAGCCTTCCTGTCTCCTGCCCACTTCCATCCTTGATCCTATCCAACCCCGTGCCCTCCTTGTCCCACCCTTCCTCTTTGCTCATATACAAAAACTCCTCCCCATCCACCCGCACCTACATCTCCGGCCCTCTTTTGGCTCCTGCAATGCATCATGCCTTTATTGCTTGCACCCCCAGCACTCTGAATTCAACTCATGTCATCACCCCAGTTCTTGCCGCATAAGAGATACTGCCCCTGATGGCAGGAAAGAACAATTACACAGAACTATCCAGCCCTTGCAGCTCTGGGCTAATGCATGCTATATGAAATATTTGGAGAATATTGCTACCAAACACCAGTAAGTCTCTTCTGAGCACTTATGAAGTGATTTTTTGAGCCTCATTACTTGGCCAAATTTAAGCAAAATGTCATGGGGACAGCAAAAGGCATATTACTAGCACCAGTTTGACCACCTTGCCCAAGTCTGGTCTGAAGCATGGAGGCAAAAGAGCGACTCCATGAAACAGTTGTAAAATGGCTTTAAACATTGGGGAAAAGATGTTGTTTTCTAATCTCATTTTTGGAAGCAGACAAACTTTCAAATAAAAAAAATCAGCCTGAGGTAGAAAACTAGCACAGAAAACTTCAGCCAAAACAGTCAGAGGTAGGCAAAGTTAAAAGCAACTGAAAACAAAGTCTTAAAATAGAAAGTATTGGATAACCTTAACCTTATAGGCAATGTTACCAGCTCCACTTATAATAGCAAAAAAACTGAAGAAAATTATATTTTAACATTAACCTAAAGATTCATTATAAAAAGGAAAACATGTAGAAAATAAAGTTACGGGACAACATATATTTAAAAAAAAATAATCATTTTTAATCATGTATTTACAGAATATGATGTATTGGAAAAATATCCAAAGCCTGCATATTACTTTTCCCACTTTGTAAACACATATGGTTTTTTAAACTTACCCCTCCTAGTTCCTTCAGATCCGTCTCTAATTTTTCAGAGATCACATTAGATGGAATATCAAGATAAAACACCTTCCCTGTAAGAGGCCTATATTTAGATTTCTCTGTCTTTGTGATATCTTTTTTTGATGTTTTCAGAGAAGGTTTATTTTTTTCTGTTTTTCCTTGTATTCCACCTGGTGGAAAAAAGAAAGAAAGTTTGAATAAGATTATATTTTATGAACTTGCATGTTTTCCAAAATATTTTCCCCTCTTTAAAGCCAAATTCAAGTAGCGACAGTAAGGGCAGGATAAGCCAAAGTTCTGCATAAACAGGATGTATTTTTGAAGAACCATGGCCCTAAAACATACAAGAAAGAAGATTTGAAAATTATTACACAACCAGCTTTAAAACAATATTAAAGTTTTGTTCAATTACTTCATTTCTCAGAAGACATTTTGATGCCCATCTACACTAATGTTAAAGGGGAGCAATCACCAAAGGCCCCAACCCTGTGGATCTTGTACATTTCAAAGGAAGAAGCACAGAGGGGAACCCCCTGTGGATGGTTCTTGTACATTTCAAAGGGAGAGAGGCAGCAGGATAGTGAGCACCCCCCCTTCCATTGACTATTCAATTAGCTGATTAACTCAGCTACCCCTCTGAAGCTTTTGAAACAGGGATGTTGAATTTCAGTTAATCTATAACTGGAAAAACTTAAAAAAAAATCTAGCTAGCAGCACCTTAAAAACTCTAATTCACTAATTTTTCCTCCTTCCTTTTTTGCCCCCCCCCCCATCCCATATTTATTTTGGAACTGGGCTTTTAATATTCCATTCATCTGAAAAAGTGGGTGGTATCCATGAAAGCTCATGATACCATCTACATGTTTTGTTAGTCTTTAAGGTGCTGCTAGCCTATTCGTTGTTTTTTAAGTTTATCCCTCTTTCAGACAGCTTATACAATGAACAAGTTAACCAGTTTCACTTATTTCTAGTCAGTTTCACTTTTTGTTCTAGTGTATCAGCATAAATTAGCACAGAGTCTCCAATATTAAAGAGAAAGGATTTTAAAGCCTAAGAATTTCAACTTTCTTGTGAATTTTCAATTACTGGAAGTTGTGACAATTTTCTTCCACTATTTGATCTGAGGAAGTGGGTCTGGCCCACGAAAGCTCATCACCTATTAAACCAACTTGTTAGTCTTTAAAGTGCTACACAGTCCTGTTTTTTGTTTTGGAAGATGATGGTGTTTACAAATACAATACAGATATTTACCCATTTTGTGTTTTGAGTTTTTATACTATTGCTTCCGTGGGACTGCCTTAACAAATAAAATTAAACATTTTTACACGTTTTGTGGGAAATGGTGAGTCAAGCTCCAGTCATAGGTCCACGAACACACCAAGAGACAAAATGCTGGATTGGGGCCTTCTCATAGGTGTTAGTTATATGCAGCCCCCTTTTTATTTGACGAATTTGAGAAAAACAGCTCCCAGTTAACAATGTACCTAAATTAAATGATCAAAAAATCCTTTACAGCCACTGAATGAGATTTGCAAACCCTCTGAACTGCTTCCCATAATCGCTCAAGATCATCTAAAGAAAGACCATCACCTACGTGTAACTTGTCCTTTGTTGCTAATCTTCATAGCACTTGGTTTCATTTTCCTGGGGAGTCACATTTTTCCATCCACCTTCCTCCCCGAGTTATGACCTGCCGAAGAAACGGTTCAATACAGAAATTAAATCTCCGAGAGAGGCGGCCCGTGCGTATTGCCCACCTCGAGTTACTGCCCCCTGGCTCCCATACACGCCGCAGCTTCCAAGTCCCCAGCTACCCCCACCCCAGTCACCGCTCCTCTGCGGCTCCGTGCCCCCGCCGCCGCTTCCCTCCCCCAACGGTCACCCCTGCTCCAGTCAGCCCTCCCCTCCCCCTCTCCCAACGGTCACCCCTTCCCGCCCCAGATCCCTCTCCCTCTCCCTCTTTTGGGGGTGGGAAAGGCGCTGCGGCTC